AGTATAACATTATCAATTTTATTTTTTACACATTTCAAAAAAAGTGTGAACAAAATTTGGATGTCAGATCATATTTTGAAGCTGAAAATATATTTCATTTTATTTTATTTTCAACTTCAATATATAAAAATTCTAGTGAAAATCAGGAAAAATCAGTAGTGAAAATCAGGAGCGCGATGAAACGAAAGATGATTGGGTCGGCAATGAAGTAGCTCTAGACCGGCGGTGATGATGGAGCTCAAGAGCACAAGACACACGTGCAGGGCCAGTCAAGCCGGCGAGCATTTAAACGATAATTCTACAAATTTCCATAACTTCAATTTTTCTTGATCTTATTTTTGCCAAGGCGCAGCTGCTAATCTGTCACCTGGAGCGAGGTTGATTTATCTATTTCGGTGATTGATGTTTTTTGAGATGGCTTCTCTCAATAGTACTACGTTGTTGTTGCTGCTTATTTTTCGTCACCCCACCTTTTGCAGTTGGAAGTGAGTCTGTAAACGATGGGGAGCATGAGCAAAGGAGAGTGAGCGAAGCAAGCAAGGTGGCGCATATGCGTTCGGTGCAAGTGTATCGTGCAAAGACGCGTGGGGTGCGAGATTTCCTTACGGCGACGCGTGTACCTTTGACACCTCGTCACATTGATCTTCATGAAGTGTCACAATTCTTGAGGGTCATGTCATCCAATTGTTATCCACTTCACGCCCACTCATCTTTACCAACGCCACATCAACTTCCAAACGCACGAGGATCTGACATGCGTTGACGTGACAACACTTGTCAGATACTCGTGGAGCGGATTACACACTATCTTGTGTTGATCGGCCACGTGGCAGCTTGGATGATCCAGGCAAGACTGGGCAGGCAAGGGCACGTTGCAGGCAGATTTGGGCAGAGCGGGCATGCGGTCAAGCAGCGCGGACATACAAGGCCACGTTGCGGGCAGTATCGGGCGGTGCAAGCGGGACCGGTTAGACTTGAGTAAGATTTTGTCTATCAAATAGATTTCATCTTGAAGATTCTATACATTAAAAAGATTTAACACTTCTGAGGAAATATTTTGTTTCTAAATATTCTGGTTGCAAGAATCTTAGTCAGAATATATGTGAATTGAGTATCGCTGGAAAGCTCTCAAGGTGATTAACGCAGTTGGCCACTTTCTAAGAGTTAACAAATAACAAATAAAGAGAAAATTATCGAGATTAACATCACCATGAATTTAAGCATGTGTACTCATGGGACAGCATTGGTTGTGATCCATGATCAATCACTTTCGAGGGCTGGCGATGATAATAGAATTGTTGAATCTCAGACAATGAGATATAAGTTTAGGAGGACGATCTATGCAAGGAAGAGATATCAATCGAGGGGTAGGTCTCTTGAGAAGAAGACAGTGGCTTGTTGAAAATGTGACAAGTTTGTCAACATCAAGAAAGATTGCACTGTAAAGTGCAAAGTCACAATTTTCATTTCATTGGCAAACGTTGCAAATCCCAATTTGCAAAATGTTGGAACTTTGACGACGATATCTTAGTATATGGGCCTTGAAAAGAAGAAATCCCAGTCGATGGGTAGGAGAAAGAGATCCAAATCTAAGTGCAAGTCCTTTAAGAGTAAGACAATGGCATGTTGGAAATGTGGCAATAGTGGTCACATCAAGATAGACAGCAGTGTAAATGTCAAAGACGTTGTTCCCCCTCCATTGATGAATGATGCAAAGGACTTTGACCCAAAGGAGTACGATCTCCTAGATAACGACATATGATGCTAATGAGTTAATGGCTATAGGATCTGATAGCTTGTAGGTTCTTGTACTTAAAGATGTTTCTTTTAGTGAGACCTAGATCATTGAAAGAGGAGTATAGTTACTATACTCTCTGTACTGACAAGGGAAAAATATTCACTCACGGATATGATCTTGGAGGAGTTTGATCATTATGTGATTAATGATCAAGAAGGAGCGTCTGTATTGGTGAAATCCTGAGCGCGTAATTAAGCTAGTCAAGATTGATGATAAATTTTGTTCAATTAGGCTAATCAACATTGCCGGTAAATTGTGATGATTGGGCTGGTCAAGATTGAAGGTAAACTTAATCTAGTTGATATGTTGATTAAAGTTAATACTTTGGAGAGTTTCATACCACACTATGCTACTATGCAGGTTTTGCATGGGGAGCACAGATAGAGTTTGCTAGCATTATATCTTCATTTATATCTTTATATAATTACTCCATCCAGTGATGATTAGGACTTAGTTCTAATTAAGTCTCGTTTAAGGAAAAGTCATGTATTAGGTTTCTTTATAGAATTTACCGAAGAGTAATTATGTAGGTTAGGAGGTTTTTGTTCACTCTATGCTAGCAGGTTCTTAATTAACACTTTATGTTATTACTATATCATGTGATAGCTACGACTTAGTTCTAGTTAATTCTCGTGTAAAGAGTGGTCTTGTGTTAAATTTCTGTCTAGATTTGTACTCAGAATAATAATGTTGGTATATCTGTCACTGTTTTTTTAACAAGAGTTAAGGGGTAGATTGTTGAGATGAACTCCAGTTAAGAAGTAACTTTATGTTTAGCTATTTATAGCTAGGTTGGTTGCTAGTGTTGGGTATATACATCCAAAGTCTGTGTATTACCAGACAGAACTTTCTGTTATACTATCACAAATCACATTATACGCTAGTGTCTCTCGTGTTTGTGGCTTGATTTGATTGAGTGTGTCACTAATGATTATCATGTTTTACCTAAATAGAAAAAATGTGTAAGTAATATTTATAAAATTGATAGATACTCTTGAGCTCAAAATTCAATTTTGATAGAAAAAAATTATCTATTTATAAATTTTCTATATACAAAAAATATCATGAATAATAAATATTGAATACGGTTATATTAATTACAAAATTAAATTCAAAAAAAATCAAAGTTTAGAAAATGATTAAAATTGATAATGACAATCAGTTAAAAATAAAGTAATACTGAAAAATATTTGAATCTCTTAAAATCTAACTTGAAAGACTTTTCGATAAAGAAGTAAAACAATCAAATGTGGAATGTAATATTGAAAAATTAAAATGAAATTAACATGGTCTAAAACATTAATTAATAAAAAATTTTAATGAATATTTTGTCATATTTGGATTTTTATTTCTAAAAATATAATATTAATATTTCAATGATATTCGATTTTCTCAAAAAAAAAATATTTAAAAGTTTTATAACTATTAAAAAATTATTTTCTTTACCAATGGATCAAAAATTCATTTTTTGATGAATTTACTGCTCTTTATTTTGTAGAAAACCTCCTAAAATATTTCAAGTTTGCATAAGGTTTTAGCATTTTATATTGCAACGAAAAATAGAATTCCACATAGGTTCTACACCTTTCAAAATTAATAAAATTAAAATTGTGTGAAATCAAACATCAAGTGTTTCAACGTAAATATTTAATTTTTTTATACAGTTTCTTTGATTTTTGATGAAATATTTTTTGTATTTCTGATTGAGTTTTCAAAATTTGGTTTATTTTTGAAGCTAAAAAATAAAAATTTGAAATTAATTATCAAAATACTATAAATAAAGAAATGCATTAAATGCATTCGAATCTTTGTAAATTTATTCTTAAATCGTAAAGAACATCATCTTTATTGAAATATCTGAATATTCGGCCTATTGCCACTTTTTGCCTCAATACTTGAAAATACCTTGAAAAGTATCGACATTAAATAAGGTTCACTTATATAAAATAGAGTATAATAAATAAATAATAGAATAAGGTTCACATATGTTTGAATTAAATTTTTTTCCCAAAATTCAAATGTACATATTTTAATGAAATTATGAATTTCAAGTTTTGATTGCAGATTTTTTTAAACCATCAAGCATATTGTAATAAATCCTAATTTTTGATTCAAAATTAAGTAACTGTATTTCTTTTTATACTTTTTTTCTTATTGTATTTCTAGACATCAAGATATTTGTTAAAAAATATTTACTTTTATGATAATTAAGATTGACTTAGAAACATTGGTTTTGACTTTCAATCAATGTGCAAGATGATTTTGATTACTTGATACATAATTTCTTAAAACAAATTTGAAAAATAAATACTTACATTTATTTAATATCATATATATATTACATTCGTATGCTTTATTATTGAACTCAAACAAAGAGTCTGATCTTCTCAGAAATATGTTCCATATCATAAAAAGTAGGTGAAAAGCATTGAATACCAGGAAATAACAGAAGATTGTTGTATGAAGTATGATTGTGTTAAGTTTTACTTCGTGGGAGGAGATGATTAATTTCATATGAACCTCCGATTGTAAGTGCACTTATCAAAGCTACATAAATAATAATATGCTTGAATTCTTCAAGCATATTATAATATATACTTGAGGATGGTTGAATGTATATCTGCTTGCACTTTATTAGGTTTTAGGGTATTCTAATGATTTAAAATTCGATTTTTTTACAACGTTGTCACTTGATCCAAGTAGATTAAGTGAAATATTTTTCGTTGAATCTACATACAACCATTCAAATTGAAGTCCAATGATCACAGAGCTTTTTTGTATAAAGTCTGAAATGTATAGCACAATGTAGTAGTTATATTTAAGCCCCTGCGATGTATAATTGAAGCAAGAAATCCCCAACATACATGAAGGAGCCAAGTAGATTACAGCCCAGGTGCAACTTAATGGAAAGACATCATCACGAAACGAATTTAAATGAAAGCCGGAAAAAAATGCAAACCTAAATCTGCCATGATTCGTTGCATCGGAATCCACAGGGTAGAGTCGCTGGTTAGGGGATTTTCAGTAAGTTTTGCTCGGTCTAGGTGTTTTCTCAGAGCTGTGTACATTGTCTCACTCACATTATTTAACATAGAGTCTTCATTGCAGTGCCGAGGCTCCATTTAATTGCTGCATTATAACTTAATTTTTTTTTCCCATTTTTTCCCCCCATTTTAACCCGATCATGAGGACCGGTTGGGTGACCGTTAAAGTACGACAACAAGGAGAAATGAGATATGTAACGCTTGTCATTCCCAAAATACCACCCCATCCTACCCCTTGGTTTCATCAATGGAAGATTCGATCGGGTCGTCCCATCCTTCGTAGCGAGTTTGCTCGCTCTTGAGGTGACCGTTGAAATGCGACAACGAGGAGACACGAGAATAATAATGCCGGTCCGTGCCAAATACCACCTCCAGGCTCGATCTGCACGAAGCAAGTTTCAAATTTTGCCCCTGGTTCACGCAGATCGGTTCGGCTGTGACGAAGCTGAACGAGGACAAGATTCTAGGTCGTCCTGGTGTAGCCACTACGGCTCGGCACAGGTTCGGCTTGGCTTTGGTGGTTCGAATTTCCCCCGAGGCGAAATTCAAATATCTTGTCGCCTGTCGTATCCGGTTTCTAGCCGTTCCCCGCCAGGATGCCCGCGACCTTCAAACTCAGCTCAAACCTTCCACTTTCTCATCGAGAGAAGAAATCGCTTCGCCTCGTTCGTCGAGAGTCAGTCGAGTCAGTCCAGGTCCTCGTCGCGTCCGGCCCGCCGCCCGCAGCATTCACTCTGCAAACTGTAGAGCTCGCGAGTGGCGCTCATCAATCGTCTGCACTAGTTTTTGGACCAGTGTCGGTAAGCCGAGCTCGCGATTTCGCTTCCTGTCGTTCAATTTCTGCTCTGTATTCGGACTTGTAGACGAATGATCTCCGTAAGAAGCTCTAGCAGTGTTTGTATGTAACCCTCAAGTGCTACACGAGTGTTTGATTTTCCGAGTCTCGGTTTTGAGGCACGTCCATGATCGGTGAAATCACCAAAGTTGCACAGTATTGCAATTCACAATTGGCGCTTTCCAATCGCGAGTAAGCGCTATCGTATGGTCGAGGCGAGCCATGCAATTGTTCGCTGTCACTAGATATTTGAGAGCAGTGACTTCTCTTAATCTCACAGGCATCGTTCAGTATTTGAGGACTGCGACCTGACGTTGCTTAAGCTCCTTGGAGCTGACAATCTCTATTTCCACGAGAAATTACCTGCCGGTGCTGAAAATCATGTGATGTTTTACTGATATATCTCTTGTTTGGTCTGTAGTTAACAGATCCGTGGCTGAAATGGCGGAATACGTTGATTACTCATTGCTGCCCCGGAGAGAGTTGCAGGCGCTGTGCAAGTTGCACAAAATTCCGGCCAATAAGACGAATGTGTTCATGGCAGAGTCTCTGGACGCTCTCCTCAATAACGTAGGATCATCACATTGAACCTTCCCTAGCATTTAATTGTTGTTCAAGCTTAAAGTGTTCTACAGATTGTGTTACCGTTTCTCGGCCTGATTATAGTTGTCCCACTTTGCAGGCACCCAGGCAGCAGGAGGAATTTCAGGAGGAGGAGATTCCGGCCCCCGACAGCCCTGAGGTAGAGAAGGTTGTGGAGAAGGTGAAAGGCAGGCGAGCACCGAAGAAGGCATTGCTGGCTGAGCCAGAGCTCGACTCGCTGGCTGGTCTCCTTGCTAATAGTTCGTTGACCTGCAACTTTGAGCAAGAAGCAACCGAGCAATCTGTAGTGCTCGACAGCACATCGGAGGAGCAAGTACCAAATGTGGATGTGCAGCCGACAGCTTCGATTGCCGTGCCCGTTAAAGGCAGACGGGGCCGTCCTCGCATCACGAAGAAGGAAGAGCCTTCTATTGAAGCTAAGATTCCTCAAGTAGATGACGACATGCTCATCGCCGAAACCGACATTTCGATCGCTGAGGTCGTCGAAGAAACTGTCCAGTCGACGTCCGAGGTCGTCCTAGAGGCGACCAACGCCGAGGCAGATTGGCCCAAAACGTGGGCAGAAGCAGCACTGGCAGCGAGCCCATTACCTGCTGAAGCTGTGGAAGTTAACGAGGAATCCGTGGTTGAGGAGATGCCTGTCAAATATATCCGGAGAAAAAATCTGGCCAGAAAGCAGGGGAAGAAAGCCATTGCAGTCGTGGAGGAGAGCGTAGCCGAAGAAAGTGATCCAGAACCGATCGCCGTTCTTGCCGAAGCCGAGCCAGAGATGTTAGAAGTGGCACCTGAGGCTGTTGCTGAGGAGACCGAGAAGACTTCTCCTCAGAAAGAGGTGAAGGCTAGGAAGCCCAAGAAAGCAGGCTCAAAGTCTCGCCGCAATGCCGAGGTAGAGACGGTTGTGGCCGAGTCTTTGGATGTTATCATGGACCAGGTCGTACCGGAGGTAACCTCGTATCCCACGGAGGACATTATTGAAGAGTGCACCGGGGCGGTGGAAGATGAAGAGGTAGGCACTTCAATCTTGAAGCCATGCTCCTTCAGCATTTCTCCCTCCGTACTGAAGGAGAAGCCAAAGCCTCGTAAGACGAAGAAGGCCAGCACCAAGTCCCGGAAAAACGTTGAGGTTCCTCTCGTGGAAGACGTTTGTGAAAGCACCAATGAAGAGCCTTCAGTAGTTGTCGAGAAGCATGTACTCCGCGATTTCGAGCAAACCGACACTAACAACATGGAAGACCAGATGGACCAAGTCGAGGAGCAGGTTACTCCAGTTAAGAAAGCAGGGGACTTGAATTCCGGTGCAGAGGACAAGGAAAATGGAAACGATGCGTTACTCCAACTGAGCATGAGGAAGTTGGTGAAGGTTTGCAGAGAGAAGGGACTTCGAACGAGAGGGACCAACACTCGCTCCATCAAACTCTGAAGCAGATAGTGTTAGTTTCCCAATAGTAGCGTTGCCAATGTTATTAATATCAAGCTATATAATGCATACCTCTTGCATTGCAATAGCATAGTGGACCGAGCGCAGAGAAGATTGTATGTTCCACGGTGTCGAAAGCCGAACTAGGACAGATTCAATCATGGCGGTACTACATCAGTACCTTGTTTGATTAGTCAATCTGTAAGTAGTACATCAGGGTGTATTACTCACGGCTGCAGACGTTTTGTTACCCATGAATTGTACATTTTTGGGCTGTTGGAAAGGTTTCAGTTTATGATATAAACAAACTTCTGTTAAAATCAGTTTTGGCCGAAAGTTGTAATTTGAAGTTAGGCCTTCTTTGCCTGTTAGTATCGTTATGGAAAACAGGCGAAGTAGAGGGCAAAATTCGTCTCTTTTACAAAGCCATAACGTAACATATCGTAACAAGCCTGATGGCTTGTTACGATATGGCCGTCAATTTGATTGTCTCATGGAATCACGTAGAACGAAATTCGTCTCTTTGGTATATCAATCTCGATCTGGAATTCTATCGATGTCCAGATCGTGCAAATGTTGTCCTCTGATCATATAATCTTCCTTTTTACAGACGGGAATTTGAAACAGTGGTGGAAGAGAACGTTGAGGCACTGCTGCAAACAAGTAGAAATTTTCAGTGAAATTTCAAAATTTCCGGAATCATCATGAATCTGACCATTTTGAATGGACATACTTCCCCTGTGTGTACACTTTCAAGCAGAATTGACCGTTGTATTTCAATTCGTAGTGGAAAACGCAAACTACCTTTTGACGTAACGTAATGTAACTAGGCGATGTTGTGAGTAAAGTTATATTCATCCATGATGAGCACTTCGCGATGGTTCTTCGAGTAAAAGGGAGTGTGCCAGAGACGTCGAAGAAGCGCGCAATATAAAATTATGGTAGAATTTTAGGCTAATGGGTTGAAAGTGATGAGCAGTAGCAGTCATCGATGCAACGGAAAGAAATATAAGTCCATTGAAGATGAGCCCGTGACCTCGTTCCCACATCTCTCTATAAATATGCTTTTCAGGCTCTATAACGAAGACAGCAGAGTATACGGCCCTGTGAACCCTCTATTGATCAACAAATTGAGACTCCAGCGCGCAATGGCGCACCAAGCTGTGATGTGTACATCCACGAGCTGGTCATGGACATGGAGGTTTATTGTTTTCATTCTTATCCTTCTTCAGGTAGCCGTGGCAGATGTGTTTCTCTGGCCCGAACCCCAAACGGTGCGTTGGGAAAGTGGTGCGAGGATTGTTCTCAACCCTGCCTTCGAGATCAGTGCGCCCGACCACCCCGAGCTCAGTTCAGCGGTTGCTCGATACGCAGCCTTGATAAGGACAGAGCGATGGTACCCGGTGCAGGTCCCGAGGTCTGTTGTGATCACAAGAAAAGCAGGGACAGATAGCGAGGTCGTGATCCTCAATGTGTTCGTGGTCGACTTGGCTGCGGATCTCCAACACGGTGTGGATGAATCTTACACCATCGAGATCAGCCCTACGAGCAGCAATGCGTCGCTCTCGGCTGGGACGGTGTGGGGAGCAATGCGAGGTCTGGAGACGTTCTCGCAGCTGCTTCGCGTGGCAGAGCCCTCAGCGAACGCTCCCTTGTACATAGAACGAGGTGTGTTCATCTCTGATAAGCCAAATTACCCGCACCGCGGAATTCTCTTGGACATAGCTCGCAATTTTTTCCCCGTCGAAGACATCAAACGAACGATTCGCGCTCTGAGCCACAACAAATTGAACGTCCTTCATTTGCACATAACGGACGCGCAATCCTTTCCTCTGGAGATTAAATCGGAGCCGGACTTGGCCGTCAAAGGATCTTTCGGTCCGCAGTTCATCTACTATCAAGAGCACGTCGTCGACCTTGTCAGATACGGCCGGCGTCATGGCGTGCGCGTCATTCCAGAGATCGATGCTCCAGGTGAGAAATTCTTCCCATATATCGTCCCTGTTTTTCATCGATGTGACCTCAGAAATTCCGAATTCTTTGGCTGGACCCTTCGAGAAACAACATGGTCAATCAATCGATTGCATTCCATACAAGTCAAAGCGTTTCGCTGCATCTTTCTCTCTCTCTTCTCGAGCAGAGTGGACGGGGGATGAAGAATCGAGGCGATTTGTGCTATTGTGGGTGCAGGCCACACTGCTTCATGGGGCGGAGCGCATCCAGACATTGTCACCTGCCTCGACGAGTTCTGGCTGCCGAACCCGGCAGACTGGAGCCAACGGCTGGCATCGGAGCCGGGATCAGGGCAGCTCAATCCGCTGATGGACAAGACCTACGAGGTGGTGAAGAACGTGATCGACGAAGTGGCCGCCCTCTTCTCGGACCACTTCTTCCACGCCGGAGGAGACGAGGTCGCACCGGCTTGCTGGAAGCGTAGCGACCTGGTGACAGACTTCCTCGCCCGACCCAACGACGACGCAAGAAACAACACGCTCAGCGACCTCCTGACCACGTAAGTGAGCCCTTCCTCAACGCAGTTCTAGTTCTCCCGAGGCTTCTTCCATGCGCGCGCGCGAGCGAGCAGCCGTTCACCGATTTGACTGCGGCAGGTACATCGAGAGGACGCGCGCCATGATCGACGTGCACAACAAGACCGCGGTGTACTGGGAGGATATTCTTCTGGGCGCCGAGGTGAAGGTGCAACGTGCGTCCGTGCCGGCGGCCACCACCATCCTGCAGACGTGGAACAACGGGCCTCTGAACACCAAGACGCTGACTGCAGCGGGCTACCGGACGATAGTCTCGTCGAACGATTTCTTCTACCTGGACTGCGGGCACGGCGGGTTCTTGGGGAACGATTCGCAGTACGACCAGAACTTCAACGACGATCCGACCAGCACTGTGAACTACGGCGGGAGGGGAGGGTCGTGGTGCGCCCCGTTCAAGACGTGGGCCAGGATTTACGACTACGACATCACCGCGAACCTGACGGAGGACGAGGCGAAGCTGGTGCTGGGCGGCGAGGTGGCGCTGTGGTCGGAGCAGGCCGACGAGACGGTGCTGGACGCCATGCTGTGGCCGCGGAGCGCCGCGTTGGCCGAGAGCCTCTGGTCCGGGAATCGAGATCCTGCGGACGCGACGAAGAAGCGCTCGGGCGATGCGATCGACCGCCTGAACGACTGGCGGTTCCGCCTCGTGCACCGGGGCATCAATGCCGAGCCTCTGCAGCCTCTATGGTGCCTGAAGAATCCCCGCATGTGCAATTCCGTGTACTAGATCGACCTCGTTCCATTCGGCTGCATCGGCCCCGATCGCCTGCTCGATTTCGGAGTCGATCATCGTCTGCGTCTGCTCGAGGAGACGAGCCTGAACCAGAGCTCGGCGGGTGGTTCATCGACCTCCAGGATGTACTGGCCCACATTCCGAGCTGGCTTTGGGGGAACTTATCCCAGCGCTGCGATGTCGATCAGGTATTGCATACTCTGTTTCTTCTGTGACGAGAAACACAAGGAGGAATCCTTTAGCGCTTCCTCCCCCCCGCCTCGATGATCGACGTTCGTGAGGAACACAGGAGGTAGCTCTGGTCGGGGGTTGGGGGTACCAGTATTAGGCATAGTCGGAGGCGTCTCGAGGTCTACTGTCACCCCGCAAGACACGGACCGCAGGACGTATGACTTGCAGTCCATCGGTTCGACTTCACGGACGAGTGTCCGGAGAAACTGGTAAAGCAGATTCATGCCCTTTAATGTCGATATTTCACTGATAAAGATGAATTTTTTAACACAATTTCTCTGACAACATGTCCCGAGAAGTGACAGAAATTTGTGAATATTTGTCCACTTTAGTTGAAGGGTGGGTGAGGCAGCGGCTCTGCAGTACTTGCGCCCTCCCTCCGATGGACTCTACTCGAATCCCTTCGGTTGAGGTCATGGACAAAGTAAATGGAACCTGCTTTGTAGTCACAAAACGGCCAAATTCAGGTCATGACCATTCATTCGCATGTAGATTCCGATCCCTTCCCATCCAGAGACCTTTACATCGGACCCGCAATGTTTGAATATGCTTTAAAGTACCATCTGATCGAGACTCAGAAACAGGTCTACATGCGCCGAGCCCTTTTCGGTTCGGTTAACTGCATGCAGAAGAATTCGGGGGTAGAAGAGTGGGGAAAGTGGCGATCGCAAGCATGCACGCACGCACAGCAGAGGAGGGCGAAGAGGCTTTGCATGTGGGGGGTAAATGGATAATATCTCGAGGAAGCTTGAAGCTGCAGCCAGAGACACAGCCAGAGACCGTACGGGGAGGGAGAGGTAAAGGGCGAGCAGAGGACACTGGACAGAGTTTGCCATGGACGCAAGCGATGACTGGATTGCGAGGAATGGCAACTGTCACCGACTAGCGACCCCCGGGACAGCTAATCAAAGTCCTTTCGGTGGTTACGCTTTCCCTTCAGCTGACCTTTGCAGCCATCATCGTCATCAGCCTCATAACCGCTCCACTCGCACCTCGTCATTCCCCTTCATCGCTCGCCAACCCTACAGCTTAGCTCCTCGGCCATGCTCACCCTCCGCCCCCGGTCACGTCTCGCGCATCGCCCCCCTTATCGAAACACCGATCCGCAGGCACGCCCGCACGCACATCCGTCGAATTCCTCTCGAGCTGGATCGATGGGCAATTCTCGACGAGCTGCCGAACTCGCTCGACGCAATCGTCCGTAATCCGCCGCAGCTGCTGCTGCTGCTGCTCTCGTGACCCTCCCGCCGAGAGATAGACAGAAGAAATTGTAAGCCAGCGGCGACGGAGCATGGAGATGCGGGGGGCGCACAAGAACGAGACGGGGAGGGCGCCATCGCCAGCGGGGTTCGGAGGAGGAAGCCACAAGGCTGAGCATCTGGCTCAGCCGCACGAGGCGCTCGGGCACGGCGATCAGAGGCCGGCGCAGCCGACGCCGCCGTCCTTCTCCATCGGCCAGCGCCTGCGACGCGGTCGCGACGACGACAAGCGGGGGCCCGGAGCGTACATGAGCATCTGGGAGCAATCGCAGGGCCCCGCGTACAGCTTCCGCAAGAAGGAGCGCGAGGCGAAGGACGACGGCCCCGGGCCCGGCGAGTATCACTCCGGCGTCGGCTATCGCGCCATCAAAACCTCGTCCCCTGCCTACTCCATGGGAGCGCGCTGCGGCCCGTCCGCCTTCGGCACGGCTGCCGGTCCGGGCGCGGCTTACGACGCGGACAAGCATCGCGGCGGCGCAGGAGGAGGAGGAGGAGCCAGCGCTTACACCGTGGGCTACAAAGCGGGAGTCGGCTTTTCCCGCGGACCCGGGCCCGGGACGTACAACGCCGATCTCAAGTCCGGCTCGCCCTCCTTCAGCATCGGGACCAGGATCCGCTCGAGCGACGATCGCAGCGATTCGCCGGGCCCCGGTGCGTACGAGGTCTACCGCAAGGCGTCGGGCCCGTCCTACTCCATGGCGTCCAAGGTGAAGGCGCAGATCACGCAGCGCGACTTGAACCCCGGCCCCGGCGCCTACACGGACGACAACACCACGTCGCAGACCCGCGGCCTTGCCTTCACCATGCGCGAGCGCTTCCGACACTCGTGACAGCCAGCCAGTCTGCCAGCACGCCGACAGGATTGATCGAGTCCGCGTCCCGGTGGCGCAATCGGATGTCGTTCGAGTTCTGGATTGATGTTTGCCGTGTCCAGGATTGACATCTGCAGGCGCGCCGGGCGGATTTCTGCTGTAGTGTATGTTCCCCGGACACTCTCTCGTGAGGCTAGGTTAGATTAAAGAGCAAGGATTCGCAGTTTGGGTGAAGCTGCGAACCGCACCAGCAGCAGCTGATGGCCTTGTTTGTTGGTCGGAACGATCGTCGACTGAGGAATGATGAGTTTGGTGGATGACGTAGTTCGCAGATGTCCTGCAGTCCATAATACGGACGCACCTTCGCTCTTCAGGATTCCGATGAGCGATGAGTCCTCCCTAGTTGTGTCTTAGAGAAGTGATCAGTGGATCAGGTGTGGCTCTACTTGCGCCGGAAGTGAGACGGAGCTTCCCAGAGTAGAGTAGGGATTCTATTTCAGACCGAATGGTTTTCCGATAATCTCGTGATCCGCGCAAATTGCTCTTCAAAGCTGTACACTAAGTTTGTGTCAGAAACGCGAGCGCAGAGAAAGTCTTCGGAGCCACCGAGCTCTCGTACTGTAATGTAATGGAATACGCTTGCTAGCTACTTTTGCGTCTTCTTCAGAGGAGCTTATTTTGTGTCCTAGGCTTGAGCAATGAGCAGCCTGTGAGTGAGGTCAAGAGCTTCGACGAATAACACTTTCCGCTGTGATGCAATTTACGATGGAGACATGGAGACATTCGTCCGATTGCTTTACAGGGACGGAGACAGTACGTAGAGACCGATAGGTAGCGAGCGAGTGACTCTAATGAGTCTCTGTCTCTCCGTTGAACTCTGATCTCTACAATCCGTTCCGCTTGAGTCAGCTGTCGACAAAGTCTGTTGCAGTTTGTTTGAAAAGAATAAAAGTCTATGGCTATCTCTGTACTGTGCTGTGATGTGCGTCGCGAAGCTTTGCTCGATTTCCTCTATTTCGTGACGATCTCGACCAGCGACCGATGTTTCTGTCGTCTCCGTTGTCTCATCTTGCCCGATGACGGCATCCCAGCTGCCACTTTCAGCACATGGCGCTTCTGTGCAGGTTCCGTTGTATCCTGCAGCAGCAGCCCTCCTTCTGCTATAGTCGATTCGACTTGGAATTCACAATAGGAGAATGAGCTCCCAGACCTTAGCTCGACAACCCAGTTCTCTCTGAGCAATCATGTGGACTTCATCTCCCATGTAGCAACTGGGCACATGGACCACTATTGCATACAAAGTAATATTTAGGGATTAATCATGTGAGTAATTGATTGCGAAGAATTCGATCGAACCAAGTAGTACCCTCGGTTGATGTAGAAAATTTGATTACGGGAGTCGGAAATTAATGATACATGATGAAGCCAAGATCATGCGTCTATGAGCGTAAAAAAGCTCTAGCAGTACGAGGCTTGGCACGACAGTCGTGTGAAGCTTGGCCGGCTCTGTCTATTAAAAGAGAGTGTTCTCTATGGTGAATGTTTAGGTTAACCATGGTAGGCATCTAGTAAAAATTGATCAGTAACGGGCAAAAGTATGGGTTTCAGTTTCGTCTTGGCCGTATGAACGAATCGAATGTATTGACCAATAAAATGTAATCAAATTTTGGCTATCTTGACCTTCCATTACTTGTGGTCCACATTTTATTTTTTTATCAGTTTAGATTTCTGACATCCAATATTATTCTCAGTAGAAAACCACTTTCCGGACTTAAATTTTATCATTTCAACTAATAAGAATAACATAAAAAATAAATATACAAAAAATTTATATTAATATACTTGTTTAAGTAATTCACACTGTTCATGAAAAATACCATAAATCCGAAAAAAATCAATTTGAGGTTTTTTTTAATACTACTATGTGAGTATAATAATAATGAGAAAATTCAATTTCAATTATATGTATTCAAGAATGTGTTTTCAATGCGAAGATGAGGAGATGACTCAACATAATGACAAACGTAGACAGATAGATAATACACATGGGAGCTCCCTCTCACTGGTTGTAAATGTTCTTCAGGTTATGGAGATGGGAACAACTGAGGAGGAGCTCAGAGAGAGAGAGAGAGAGAAGAAGCAAAAACATCGAAGTTCTGATGAGTCGACGACTCGATGACACCAAAAAAGTCGGGCATTTGGTGGAACAGGGTTCGACGGTCTCAAAAGCCTAATCTCAGTGTGACCTGATAACAGGATCGCATTGCAGCCGGGCTTCTGATTTCGCATGGGGGGATTATTCTCCGGCACCACCACACGCGATCTACATGTACAAAGCCCCACGAACCAGATTTCCGCCACCCATTTCATCGTTTCATCTTCCCTTCGTTTCGTGACCAGTATGAATGAGTGACCCTATCCTCGAGTTCGAGCTGTACTATATAAATAGAGAACAAATACTGCCAGCCAGGAATGAGGACGGCTTCCACTAAATCCAACAGCCTACGGAACGCTGATCGAACACAGAGCTTGATCCCAGATCGGTCTGCTCACATCTCGCAGGATTCTTTTCTACGCTCGAGCACGAGCCTAGAAATGAAATGCCGAGAGTATTTTTGAATGGCCTGATCGGAGTTGAACTAACGCTTCTGTCAAGCCTTCAGACATAAAGTTAATGTACACCATGACGGGCTGGGCTGGGACTGATCGCGATGTGATGTGAAGCTCGGGAACGGAGGAAAAGACCCAGAGCTCCGATCAGAATTGGTTGCCGGCCGGATTGGAGTTGGAGACCCTGCTGCTGACGGTGGGTCCCGGAGCAGCGCAGGATGACGACGAGACGCCTGTGGACGTGTGATTTTCTTGGCGTGGGGATTTTGAACGTGAGCGACATCTTCATCTTCATCATAGCAGGCATGTTTGGTGGTCTCGAACTTCGGGCTCGCCTCCCCTTAACTAAGGCCGCCCAGCTCACCACCACTCGTGCACTCGACCGTACATGGCCACAGTTTCACAGTCAGACTCTCGCATGCATCTCCAAGTTGCTCGGAGATGGGCAGATCATCAATGTGACCAATCACCGAAGCAGCTTGTTGGCAGATGGCAAACATCTACAACTTCTCTTCACGAAGATGGTGTGCCCTGGTTCGTGTTTTCAGCTATCTCTCACCTCCCCCAGTCCAACAGAGCTCGACAACCGGGGAAACAACGAGACATGTTTTCTTACAGACCATGGAATCTTACACTAGGCTTAATTAGACTTAATTACTCCCAGACACAGGAGAGATGGCTCGCAACAGCAAATCCGCGGCACAGGGATGAGTATCGCCTGGGAGAAGTTCAGGAAGATGACCACAAGTACCGGCGGCAGGAGTTCTACAAACCAGGCCGGTGATCCCATGAACCGCATCGATCATCGACGGCTGGTCTGGACCAGTAAGCTAGCCGGAGCACAGATGTGGGTGTTGATGACTGCCAGAGAAGCATCAGTATTCGCCGAGTGACGGTCCCCTCCGTTGTATCCAGCCCACGCCTTCCATAGAGTCAGAAGAACGATGTTGGGGGAAAAGCGCTCGTGATCCTTCTTTAGCCTCGGCCCCACATCCAGACAAATCCAGACACCAAAGGTCCCTGACTTTGTGTCCAGCACACTGTCCCCACAAATTAATACCCATATCCCTTGACGATTCAGCTCTTTCGAAGCCTACCATCAAGCGCCGTCATGGAAACAGATCACGGATTGCGATGCCTTGCACTTTGCACATCCACGGATTGCAAAGTCTGCATTTGCTTCCTAATCGGAACATCAAAAGCATTTCAAAAATGCTGGACCCTAAAGCTTCGGTTCAGGAGATCTGGGTAAAGCGATGAAAGGCCCTGGGCCTTGGTTCTTAATAAAACTCTGATAATGCTGCTGTATGTAAGGTTTATTGATGTTTCTGATCCCTTTGTCAATTCTCATGCAATTCTCCCATCCACAGGTTTCAAATATGAGCCAGCCGACCGAGTCCAGTCCCGTCCCGTCCTGGTTCGGAAGATCTAAGATATACATGATCTGCGCCGACCATATGCTTGATCCCCCTAAACTCTGCCGCTAATCTTACCTGCATCAGAGTCTGCTTTAATCTTAGCCTAGCGCATCATCTTTAGGGACCTACCGCTTCAGTGTATTCCATGATTTCAGCTGCCTGCTGCATGATTTTCCTGGAAATCATCTTCTCCGCTCTTCGCTATACTGAGCTCGGGGGTCCAACGATATACAGCAGAATAGACTGAGCTCTTTTAATCGTCGAAAGCGACGACGTGATTTCCTCAGCTGCTTCACGGTCGACTCACCACCGATTTCTCTCTACAAGCGACTGGCTGCCTAAACTCCACCAACTGGAACCAGACCATTTTTTAGAAGCATCGAGGAAAGGAAAGCCAGTTGGGGCATGACCAAGGCCAGCTAGCTCTCTAGCGATCTGCGCCACACTCCAAACACAAACTCCCAAGCCCTGTGAGTGCGAGACGGTGCACTCGAAGCTCCGGCTCTTCCAGTGCACCTCCCACGTTCTGCAAATTCCACCTCAAAGTTGCCGTTAGCTGGCTGCTTGCTTTGCGGTTCCAACAAATGTCATTCTCGCAAGGAAGGGATTTGTCAAGGGATGTCAAGTGTCAAGGGAAGGGATGTGTCAAGGGATTTGAGTAAACTTAAATTTGGTGTAATTAGAATTCATAAAGTTGATTAGTGGATGTTACTAATAACCTTGCAAACATAGACAGGTAAAGGCTTGCAGTTTTATAGACAAACGTTTGAATCTCTAAGCTGGTCAAAAAACGTATGCACTCATGCATTTAAAGAGGTGCATCATAAATTTGGCAAATATTCCAACATCGTCAATACTTATCCACAAACTCCTATAACATTTTCTTGTGAAAGACCTTATGCCAAAGATGGGTATTCATGTGAGAAAACTTACATTTGGTAGAATTAATACTCATACACTTCATCTCCTCACGACTGGATGTTCCAAACATCTCGATAAGACCTAAAATTTACAAGCGTAGGATTTGCTTCCTTGCGTATTGGGATATCAAGTGTTGCAAGAGATCATGCGTGGCAACTTTCAATCTTTGTGGTTTGAAATAAATCAAAGGGTAAAGGCCTACAGTTAGTTACAGACAGTTGTGATCTCTGAATTTGTCAAATAATGTATGCATGCATGCATTGGAAGTGATGTATGGTAAATTTGGCAAATATTGCAACAGCGTCAATACTAATCCTCAAACTCCAATGTACCAAGGGGTGGATCTTGATTTGAGTTAACTAAAAATTTGATATAATTAGTATTCATACATTTGATCTTCTAACTGGACCTTGATAAACCCTAAAAACTGCCAAAGAACAATTTGTTTACTTGAGTGTTCGGGGTATCAAGCTTTGCAAGAGATCATATGTGACATTTTTTAATTTTTTGGATTTGAAATTAGATAGAGGGACTAAAGGCCGGAAATTTGATAAACTAACGCTTGGATCTCTAAGTTTGTCAAACAATGGATGCATGCATGTCTCCAAAGCGGTACATCGTAAATTTGGAAATTATTGCAACGGCCTTCATACAACCTCAGATGACTTTATTATGTGACAAGGGTTGGTAGTCATTTGAAAAAAGCCTAAATTTGGTTGAATCAGGATTCATATATTTGATCTCTCACTATTGGCAATAATTGCAAAGGCCTCGAGATGACTTTCTCTTGTGGAAAATCTTGTGCCAAGGATGGACTTTCATTTGGAAAACCTTAGAACTCATAATCCTAATCACTACTGAATGTTCCAAGAAACTTGACAAATAGTAAAATCTGCCAACGATTTGCTTCCTTGCATGTTAAAGTATCAAGCTTTGCAAGAGATCATGTTTGGCAACGTTTATTTGATGTGGTTTATTATTAATCAGAGTATTGGAGTTTAATATATTTGTTGTGATCTG